AAACATCATAGAGTCTGCTTATACCAAGTAAGACAGCTATGAGACACAATCTAATGGGACCACTGTTGTATATGTGGTGCATCAATGACTGAAATATGTGTAACATAACTGTACATGAAATACTCACAATAAGCAAAACTGTAGAGATGGGAAGCATATTGGTGATTACTAGAGGTTGGGGGGAAGAAAAAATGGGGATTGCTAACGGGTATATACTTCTTTGGGAAATGACAAAAATATTCTGTATGAAAATGGTTGCACAACCTTGTGAATATACTAAGAACCACCAAATTATACATTTTTTTAAAAAGTTGACTTTACTGTGATATGAAGTACATCTCAATAAAAATTGTCATGAAAAGAGTTTCAGCTGTTGAATAAAATAATAATAGAATTAAAATCTCACTATTTTGCAATTCATCATGAAATAACAGATCTAGGCAATGGTCATCAGTGGCTGCTAAAACCCAACTTAAAAGCTGATGATATCTGACCTCCTGCACAACCTATGTAACAAAAGGAGATAAGACTGCATGTCCCCTGATAGAAGTACACATACAAGTCTGCAATATGGCAGTCAAAAAAATGATGTAAATTTTATTAAACCTTTAGACCTAACTTCCAGCTGAAACAAAATAAGAGATTTTAGAGGACCCTGTTCATGACACCAATGGGATGCATTCAGCAAAATCCAGACTGTAGGAAATCATTAAGGGTGAATGACATGGGTCAAGTCTATTTAAGAGACACTTAACTAGAACCAACATATAAGCTTTGTGTGGACCCCGATTCTAATAAGCCAAATGCACAAGTATATATAAAAGTCAGGGGCATTCAAACACCAAGTAGACACTTCATAATATAAAAGAATTGTTATTAATTTTTCAGTGTCCTAATGGTATTGCAATTATGTTCTTAAAAGGGAGTCCTTATTTTTTGTAAATAAATACTAAAATATTTATGCAAAACATTATGCAGCATTTGGGATCATTTTTATAATACATGGAGAAAGCAAGGACACTGATCAGACAAGATGGCCATGCATTAATTGTCTTGGTAGCAGGGTAAAGGGTACACAGAAATTGAATGTATTATTCTATTTCTATGCACATTAAAATTCTCCAGTGAAAAGGATTTAAGAAAAATTTACTAAGCACCTTTTTCAGGCCACATACCATGGAAAGTGCTTTCATCTACACTATTGTCCAACCTTTTATTCCCATCAACTGGTGCCGTACCTGGACACTCGTAGGCAGTGACTATTCAGGCAATAACTGAATAAATGAATCATTTCCTTTATGAATATGTGTTTAAACAAAAAGCATGAACCTAGTGTTCATAATAACATTATTCATAATAGCCAAATGCAGCCACCCTGACAAGTAGATCATTGACCCCATATTGCAAATGAAGAAATCTGAGGCTCAGTCTGGCCAACATGATCCAGTTTTTATGAGCAAGACTGTTATTACTCTGCCCCAAATAGGAGTACTTAAACTTTTTTTTAAGTGGGAAGAAGTACACCATCTTATGTTCTAATTTGCCATCCTCAATAAAGAATGTTATCCCTTCTGTAGGTGTGTGGGTACTAGCATGCTGAGGACCTGTGCCTTCTCAAATTAGGTATATCTGTGGACATTTAGCCACAATGTAGAAGGACAAATCATTATTTTCATGTTCTTCCAAAGGAAAAGCTTAGACGCACTATTGATTTTCCTATCTACCATTCAACCCAAATCACTCAGGGTGATAATACTATATACAATATTTGGTCACTTTCTCTCTCTTTGTGTTTGTTAGACTGAAAAAAAGGGGGGGAAAAAACCCTACATTGATTCACTTCTATCTGCCCTATGAAATCTTCAAAAACATTAATCCCTATTTTTCTCTTCTTAGTCAACTTTCTGCTATCTTTGCTTTATACTCTCAAATTCACGTAAAAAATAGTCTAGATATTGTATTTTCAAAGCTGACACATATACCTATACACACATGCATGACTGTCTTTCATAATGCTTGCTTTGTTCAGCAAAAAAAAAAAGTATAATAATACATGCCAGTTTTTCTTATTGGACAGAAACATTTTTTAAAATCAATTCCATAAAAATGAATAAAATCCTAAATACCTTTTTCCTTTCACTGTTCAAAAAAAAAAAATCTATATTAGTCATTTCATCAAAGGCAAAACCAGGCCATTTTCAGCATTAATACTGCCATCTTTTTGGAACATTCTTTTAAGAGTTTCATTTCATTATATTAAGTGCAAAAAAGAAATCATCTTGATTTTTAAAAGTCGGCCTTGCTAACTTCAATTCCTGACTACACCATGTGCTACGGTGTGAAAGGGCTTTGTCCCCTAAGGGTTCAAGTGTTAGAAGCTCTGTCCCCAGTGTGGCAATGCTGAGAGATGGTGGGACCCTTAAGAGGTGGGGCCTACTGGGAACTGTTCAGGTCACTGAAGGAACTGACCTGGGAAGGGATTAAGGTCGTTCTTGTGGGACCCTGAATAGGTTTTTATGAAAGAAAGTTGTTGTAAAGAGAAAGCCTGACCCTTGCATCGTTCTTTCTGTCTTCCTGATTTCACTACACGATGTCTCCTCACCTCCATGGTGCAATGCAGCCAGCAGGGCCAACCATGCTGTTTGAACTTTCAACCTCAAAACTGAATTAAATAAACCTCTTTTCTTTACAAATTACTTAGCCTCATATATTTTATTATAGTAATAGAAAAGAGATTAACAACACCATGTGAGAATATACCATAGAAAACCAAGAAAGTTTAATCAACTGAAAATCTAAACTCAGTCTGATTCACACCTCCTCAGGACCTCACACCAGGGGCCTCGCCCACTGATAGTCTTCTTTTGCAGTAGGCTCCCCATATCCCAGTTTGGGTAATATATAAAAAACAGAAAATCAGGGGCTGGGGCTGTAGCTCAGTGATAGAGTGCTTGCTTAGCATGTGTGAGGCCCTGGGTTCGATCCTCAGCACAACATAAAAATAAACAAATAAAAATAAACAAATAAAAATAACATAAAAATAAACAAATAAAATAACTACAAAAAATAATAAAAAAATATCAGAAATCAGTGATGGATCAGGAAGAGCAAAGAGTGTGACTAAATGCAGTGGCACTGGGCACCCTGGCTGTGGATCTAGAAATGGAGACACCTGAATTCTTACCTCATGAGTCAGCAACTTCACAGCAGCTAAATAGTGTTATTCTGAGAAATAAATATTTGTGAGGCATTTAGATGGACAAGTCCAGAGCCAAAATAGAAGACAGGAATCTTCAAAGAACCTTCTGGATTTAAGTCTTTGTGCCCAGGGGTCAGCATCACCTGGGCCTTCCAAGGTCCTGCATGAAGCCCTTCCCTCCAAGAGCTTTTGAAGTGGTCAGCCTAGCCCATGGAGGAGGCCTTTATGTAAATGTCCATCTCAGCAGTCAGTCAGACAAGGAAACTCCCTCCCAGGCCTGTTCTGCATTTGGCATGTTCTCCCAGCATGGGCCACAGCTGACAACACACTGTTGGCACAGTCTCTGACCCCCAAGGTCACCCTACTCTACAGCAATCCTAACCTGAACTCACCTTTTAAACACTGAGTTAAACAAAATGAACTCTCTTCCTCCCGCTACCTGGTACAATCCTATTAAAAGTTGTGTTCATTCCTGCTGGGTCTCTATTTAGTGACTGCTCCTCTCTGGAAACTCCAGGGATCTGTGTACTTCACACTGCAAGCACAAATAGAGAGCCACTCAGAAGGCCAAGTGACTTAGCAAGCCACACAGCCAGAGAGCTGTCCTACTTGTAACAGGCAAAGCATTGCAGATCATAGCTTTGATCAACCAGTGAAATGTGGACTTTTCTCCAAGAGAGGCCTCTAACCTGTGTAAATACCCCAGCACTTCTCCAACTGAACCGTGTTACTTGGAGTAACACACATACAAAGGTCTGTTTGCAAAGCCCTGGTGCTCAGGGAAAGGAGGTGAGAATTCAGATGCACAGGGGATAAATCAGCAGCTCTCCTTCCCCATCTCCCCTGCTTTACTCCGTCTCTCGCTGCCTCTAACGTACACCTTTATACCAGCACTTATCACAGCCGTTACAGTGCTCTCTGTGCTCCTCCCTGCTCTGCACACTTCTGTTAGCTGCTCACTCTACACGCCAAGCTCCTTCTCAGAAGGGATCATCTACTGTCCTCTCTACGGCTGCAGTTCCTTATGCTATCTGTTGCCCATAGTCTAGTGAAAAATACTCACTTTAATCTGGAGGAACTGACAAAAGCAAAGGGAAAATCCAGCTAAGACTGAGCAGAAAGATGCAGGCATTGCAAAAGTCAGCACCTTCAGTGGCCAAACAAGTAAGTCGAGGCTGGTGGGTGGACTGTCCTTACTTATGTAAGAGGCAGAGGCCACATAGCACTGCAGTCTTTCTTAGGGACAGAGGCCCAGTGTAGACTTATCATTCCATGTTCCTGGAGAGCAGAGAAATGCTAATTTTTATGTGGAATATCTCAAGTTTAATTAGAATCGATCCAGCATGTTTTAAACATTATATGTCTCAAACAAATTGAGCCTTGGGCCAGTATTTCCACAAACCACCCACTGTGACCTGAGCCAGATTTGCACCAGTTCTAGCTCCACAGCATCCATTTTAAGCCAAACTGACTCAAATGGACACAAATGGAATCTTTCACAATAACTGTAGTTTTACTTCTATGTGTATAAACTACAAAAAAAGGGAAGGGGGCTGAATGTGTACTACACACCTTCCAAAAGGTGGCCTGCGGTGTTTCTCAACACAACTCCCCCCTAATATTTCTGGAACTATGCTCTTTCTCCTTTAGCTGTTCATCCCAACCATCCAGGGGAATTTCCAACCAGAATGGCCCCCCTGTGTCTAGCCTTCATCTTTGCCACGATACTCTAAGATTCATTCCCCTCTTTCTCTGATAATAATGGGTGTCAGAGACAATGACGGAGAAAGGCAACTCTTACCCTTGTGGTGGTGATGTCACACACTCTGCCCTCATCCTGCACAGTAGAACGTCCATTGTCATCCAAGAAACTTCGCCCTTCTTCCCTCTTTGGAACGTGGAGTGCACATAGGCATCTAGTGGCCAGAAAGAAGAGAAGAATCCTGTTCTCTGGTTGTACAAGCCAAGCACCCGCTGGGAAACCACTCTCACCTGCAGAAGAAATCATCAGCCAAGTTGTAATTCCAGGGAGGAAATGTAACGAGGACCTTTGATCTTGACTCAGTGCTCTAAGTACTTCGTGGATCAGACCCAAATCTCAGAGCCTCACTGAGCTCTCAGTGAGAGGGTGGTCTTTCCCCTGTGGAACCATCACTCCAGTTGGACACGTGGCTAGGTTTAAGGACTCTCAGAACTTGACAAGTGAAATACTTGTGGCCTCCTCCACTGACACAGGCCAACTAACACCCAAGCTGGACTAGGCACCAGAATGAGGACCTCACCCCCATCCCACACTGTTTCTTCTATTCCAGTCAATTCACCCCAGACATATGTGCAAACTTCTAAAGGAACACATATTCATCCATTCAGAGACCAACTTCTCAGGGTTACTGCTCTAATAGAATTAACTCTGCTTCTGTAATTTGAAATCAATGGATTTTAAAGACTAACCAAATTCATTTTTTTCCTTAAAATTTCCCATTGTTATATTTTGCAGATCAGAAATGACTACAGGTGCTAGCGGAGTCCTCTGATTAACTAACAAAGTGAATGCACAAGTGGAGAGGGTGTTTAAAGTCTGGCAAAACGAACAAGACAAATTTCAATATTTCTCTCTGAATAAATTAAAGAAAGGAAAAACATTCCAATTCCCCACCAGGTAAGCCTGCCTCAAGTTGAAGCATCCCCATAGATTTGTACTAGTATCTAAGCATCCATCCATTGATTTTCATGTTTTCCAATCAACACCAAATCCAAAAGGAGGGAGAAGGGGAAAAAAAAAAAAAACATTGATTCTGAGCAAAAGACATGAAAGAAATGCCTCTGGCTATCTCAGTTATTAACAAACATTCATATGTTCTAGGATCTGTTGGGCATTATCTAAGGCATGAAGATCACAAACCACACTGTAGCACCTGCCCCCAACCCCACAAGGGCTCATGCTCCAAATCAAGCGGGGGCAGTGGAGCCAGAGCCAAGTTGAACAGTTTCCAAGTTGGTCCCAACAGGAGCTGTGCAATTCTTCAGCACATTCCTGCTCTGCATAGGAGTAAACTTTCACCTCCAACAAAGACATAATGAAGAAAGATCCAGAAGCAAAATGCAGCTCCATGCAAGTGAACTTCTGAGATGGAATTTTTGGTACAGGAGGTTGAGCAATGTCTACAAGGATGCATAAAATTAATTCAGAGGCTAAAGCCCACCCCTCCTGACCTCCTAGCAACACCTCCTTGAGTCAGCCTTAGATATCTGCATTCCAATGAAACACAGAAATGCCACTCCTTTTGAAAAGAATTCATAGCACATACATATAGTTTTTCCCCTATCAGATGCCTTTCCAGCTGTAGAGTGTCTTAAGGGAAGGTAAGATTAATCTGAGGAATAATTAATTAACTGCAAACAGCTTTGATATCACTGTATTAATTACTGAAAAGAAGAAAATAGCCGAGTACTTTGGCTTTTCAGTACTTCAAGAACTCCCCAGCACTGGCTAGAAGCTCATTGCTCTGGCTCACCACAGAAAGGTCAGGGCTGGCCCAAGGACAGACTATGAGGGTAGCCAAGTGTATCCTGTTTACAGAAATTGGTACTCAGGGCAGCTTCAGTCAAGGCCTGATGAATGAATGACATCCAGTCTGTCCCTTTTTTTCTCCCCTGCCAGCAAAACTCAGAATTCCTATGCCTTATCCCCATTTTCTATCAGAGTGATTCCTATCTAAACAAACAAACAGACCAGATTTCCAGAAAAGATGAAACACCAATCAATGCCTCTTACTATGCATTTATGTCAATTCGCATCCCTCTAAACGTGACTTTTTCTCAGTCCCCACAACATGCCAGGTACGTGGATGGTTTTATGCACATCTCCTCTGTCCTCAGCCACTGGAAGCTCTGGAGCCACTTCCACACCTAAGAGTATAGACCAGGATTCAAAATCTGGCAGGTCTGTCTGATTACAATTAGCATGGACATCAAGATCCCTCTTAGTGGCTGGGAAAAGGTCAGGGGAGGATTGGCAGCAGAGGTGGGCAGACATGACACCAGCCAGCAGGCTGTGGAGAAGGAAATTTTACATGTGACCTATGTCCCCCTCCCTGCTTGACAATCCCACCCAACAGTGTTTCTATTTCTCTATGTCCCTCCCAACCCGATCAGCGTTGACCTGTTCAAAAGAAGGGAATATTGGTTGCGATTTAGCACTTAACAGGTTTCTGACTTTGCTGAGTGATTCAGCAGGATCCTGGCAAAATACATCAAGCTCACTCAAGGACTGCTGCCTTCTGCAGAATTCCTGTCTTCGCAATAGCTCTCTGCGTCACGCTGACTCTTCCCCTGCAGCCTGCCTGTGTTTCCTGGTGGGTAGACGATCGCATTCAAAAAGTCCCAAGTGACTGCCTCCATCACTGAGAGGAAAAAGGTGAGGAGCAAGTGGCATGTTGGACTCTTTCCTCACCCAGAGACCTGACATGCAATTTTGGAACTGTACCCAGGGAACAGCAAATGGACAGCAGACAGCCACCAAGAGTGACAAGGACTCCCTCCACTGTTCCCACGGGTATAAGGTTGTCCTCCAGAAATGAGGAAATCTGTGCCTGATAGATCAAAGCAGACACTCAGTGTGACATTGCAGCATAGGCCTGTGTCCTCTATACTTGCACAGAATCCTCTTATGTCCCCTGTCATATGCTGAGTTGTGTCATGTCAGTGCCATCCAGTAGACAGGGAAAGCCTCCAGTCGAGAAGCCTGTCCTAAGATTCATCCACATATTAATTACCCCTCTCATACCGTGGTGCTTGACACACTTTAAGAAAACAGTCTTCTCCCCTAAGCCAATAAGACTAAATGTAATTAATAAAAAGAATTAATATGGATCATGAAAGGCAGCAGTGGAAACAGGAGGAAAGTGAAAAGGACATGTTGGTTGTCAATACCTATCCCAGCACCAGATAAAGGAGAAAAAAATCTTATCCTGAAGATTCCACGCCCCCCACCCTGGCGGGGAGGGGGCGCATATCAAGAGTGAAGTTTAAGGTCAACACTCCAGTTTCAGGTATCCGGAAATACCCAAACTCCTCCTTTTTGCTCTGACTCCCAGAGGCTCTAGGAGGCACCTGCTGGTGGTGCGAGTCCTCACGCACTCTGTCAACGGGAGCAGGTGAGCTAGGTCACCAACAAAAACATCCACTCAGTCCACTAGTTGCATCTGTGAGTGGAGCTTCACAGGGTGGGAAGAAGTCTGTTTATACAATCTCTGTGAGTTTTGATGAAAGTCAATCTCCTAGAGTTTGGTCAACTCTAGGACACCTAAAAGTGAGTTTCTGAAGTTGAAAGCCTATTAGAGAGCTGACCCTGACCTATGACAAGGCCATCAGGTACATGGCACCTGTAAGGACCTCCTGGATACCTCCTGACCTCCCATACCTCTACAGCGAGGCTTCTTAACCTCAGCACTATTGACCTTGTGGGGCCAGATGATTCCTTCTGGTGAAGGCAGTCCTAGGCAAGGTAGGGTGGTTGGCAGCATCCCTAGCCTCAACCCACGAGGTGCCAAGATAACAACAACCAAATATGTCTCCAGATATTATCCAGTGTCCCTTGGGGAGCAAAATCATCCCCAGTTGAGAACCAACACTCGATAAGTAAAATAAAAGGACTTCAGGTAGCTAAAGCTCAGAACACCAGATCACATTAGTACCTCTGCTGATCAGGGCTGGAGAAGGTCCCCCAACACTTGCTCCTTTAGAATTCGGTCTTGACATTTCATGTCATGGTATCAGACAACCAAAACTTTTAGAATGAGGAGAGATAAAAAGCAAGTTTAACCTTTTGTAGAAACTCAAAACATGTTTCACATGAGTGAAAAGGCTATTGTTGATTTTCTCCCAGAGGGGCTGTCTGAATCGTTTCCTAACATTTTCAATCCCAGAATGATATACGGTGATGCACTAATAGTTTTAGCTCTGCAGCCTGCTGCAGCGTTCTGCAATAGTGCTGATCCTACTGAATACACCAGCCCCTGGACAGAGCTCCAGTCTTGTGGAAACTCATTAATGTCCCAGGGAAAAGGCAACTACATGTCAGTTTGGTAGTCTTGCCACTATTCATCAATCACAGACCAATTTTCAATAAAACCTGAGAGTAATGGAATTAGAGGAATAATAATGGAAGGTGAAATTCCACCCTACTTCTATCTTGCTTAGCTAATGAGAATTGCCATCCAGAGTTTTGCTTAAATAATACTAAAATATCTCAGTCAGACTGCCACAATTGGGTTTACTGTGCTAGAAAAATTATACTGATATTTAAATCCTATAATCCAAAGCAATCAGATTAAAGCAACACCTTCCAGTTGATTCAGACAGTGGATTACTAAGAATATCCCTGAACTACATACTTTTTCGAAACTATCAAATTTCAAGAAGTACCTTAAGTTAATATCCTTAAATTAACATGATTTTCTTATCTATCCCATGGGGAAAAAATGAAAACTTCTCAGAGTCTAATATATTCAGGGATCAAAAATAAATTTATAGAGGTTCTGATTTTCCGTGAGAAAGCTAGTAAGTGCTTTCTAGAGCAAAGTCTCTAGATTGTATTTGAAAGGTTAATATAAATGACACTTCTCTCAACTATTCAGAATGTGACTGCAATACCATCTCCAGAAAGCCCAAAGACTTGTATCGTGGGTAACAAAACACCACCCTCCCCAGGGTTCTGTGTTTCTAGACAACCTCCCCGGGGGGCGGGGGGGGGGGGGGAACGACGACAGTGGGGAACAGCACGCATCCTGCCGAGTCACCTCACCAAGACAATCTACAATCAGGCCAGGAGCTGCCCAGGGGAGGTGTGTCCCATGGAAGAGGAACGCCATAACACAGCCACTTACCCCAGTCTGGTCGCCCATGAGTGCTGGCAGGGCTCTGAGGTCACCCTAGTAGCCAAATGACTGCCACCATTCCACCAGCCCCTGGAAGGAGCAGTCTTGATTTGG